CGGGGGGAGCCGGCGAGCGCGCCGGGCAGCACCCAGAGCGGCAGCGGAGGGAGCTGACAGGTTGTTCGGCGAGCAAAAGGCTGGAGAGTTTGGGTAGTGGGAGGTGCCAGCCAGGGACGAGGCTGGGCTGTGGAGCAGACGGGCAGGTGATGCTGAGAGAAGATGGGAGCACACACAGGCATGACCGACGCAGGGGAGAACACCCACAGGTACACGCTGCCACCCCCCAGGACTGGAGGAGAACGAGATCAGCGTCCCGGTCCCGGTGCTCGGTGCATGCGGGGCAGTTAAATGTCCCGATCTCTGCCAGGGAACGAAATCGCCAAACAGCCAAATGATGCCGGCGTTCCTGTGCTGTGGAGACCACCTCCTGGCCCGGAACGTGGCCACTGCCTCCCGGGCTGCTTCGGAGAGTCCAGGGCAATCCCCAGGGGACCCGGAGCTGCGCGATAGGAACCATCCGGGGACTGGGCTCTGTCTGCACTTAAACCGCTCCAGCGGCACAGCTGTCCCGTGTCAGCGCAGACACGGGGGAAGGAAGGGGGGTTTCCCATCGCCGTCGCTAACCCACCACCCCAGAGGCGGCAGCAAGAGCTTCCTTCGGCCTAGCGCTGGCTACCCGGGGGCTGAGCTCGGCACAGCGACGTCTCTCCCGGGGGGTGGATTTTTCACATGCCGACCTCAGTTTTCAGTGGAGACCAGCCCGGGGCTTCTGAAGAAGGGTTAACGGGGCTTCATCCTAGCACAGCCCAAAGACAACTAATGAAGGACTTGCCCAAAGCCGGCAACTGTGGGGAGGGTGCGGCTGCTGGGAAGGGACAGGGATTCAGGGTGTGCAGGGCTGTGACTAGGAGGCACAAGAGGAGAAGATGGAGGCTGACTATCTGGAAGGAGCTCTTGTCTGAGGGAGGGGCTGGGCTCTGGGACTGTCCCCTGGGCGAGGGGTGGGAGCCCCCACCTTTGGGGCATGTTCCGAGGGGAGCAGTCCTGCACCTATTGGGTCGTCACAGGGCTCCAGGCTCCCAGCCCCTGCTCAGCCTGGGATCGGGGCACCGCAGGAGCCAGACAGGGGTCGCACTGAAGGATTCCTGCATGGGACCCTTTTGCCAGGGGCAGAGAGGAGGCAGGAGGCATTGCTCCAGCAGGCTTCCCTTCCACCATCCCAGCCTGGCAAACGGCACCTTGCCATGTCCTAGGGGCAGGAGAGGCGATGGCCACGAACGGGCCGAGGGGACGCCCTAGAGCCCAGCTGGAGCAGCGGGCGACGGTAGATTATGGAGTCTCGGTTTAGTGCCTGCGTTGAAACATGGGCAGCGTGGTCACAGGAGCTCGGCTGGCCCAGGGCAGCCCGTTGTGCTTCATTCCGGGCAGCTGCCCCGCCAGGGCCAGGCAGCGGACACCTCGCTGAAGGGCCATCTCTGACAGCCGTCAAGCTGCCATCGACTCTGACTGACTGGTCCACACCCACAGCCTGGGTCGGCCCAGCGAGATGGAGTTAGCCAGTCTGAGCCCCGGCGTAGGGTCGAATGATTCCATTGACCCAGCGCCCACCCTTCGGGGGACGGGGCTGGATTTACACAGCGACGGGAAACCCCCTTCTGTGGTGGTAGCAAGTGTCCACACTACAGCCACGTTGTGCAGCATTTATAGGGGGGGCCTGGCCGAGCCCCCCAGGACAATGGCCTTTCTACGCAGGGGCCTGGTGGAGCTTCCCCGCCTGAGCACATGGTGCAGCGCTCCGGGCCCGTTGTGGGTGCGGGGTCCGGCTCCGTGCAGGGGGTTCACGCCAGCAGCAAAGGGCTTGGAGAGAGAGGGGAGCGGGGGACGCTGTCCAGCCGGAAACGCTGATGAACCTCGGATTAGCTTAGCCCAGGGCAGCGGGAGTCTCACAGCTTGTGTAGTTTTCAGGGATCTGTGACTCTCAAAGGCTTTAAGGCTGAGGTCACTGGGGTTAGGAAACTCGCCTGCGCCGCCTGCCACGTTGTCCCCAAAGGGGCTGAATGGGGTGCCCGAGTGCCTGCAGCCCCGTGGAGCTCGGCGGGAGGGCGGGTGAGCACTGGGGGGCTCAGGAGGACTCAGACACGGGCTTTGAGGTCTAGGATGGCTGGACAGTGGTGGGAAGAAGCCGGATGAGAGGACTGGGCCCTGGAGTGTGCCCTATAGACCCATGGCTAGAACTGGTGACTAGACTCCCAGGCCCTGCAGGCTTGGAAGCACCTGGCAGCCAGCGACTGGGGCGGCTGGTGAGAGGACAGCGGCACACTGGGAGAAACCCAGCAGGCAACAGAGAGAGCAAACCCTTCTTCCAAGCGCAGCAAGAGGGCCTGAGAGCCTGCTCTGACCCACGGCCACCCCACCCTGTGCAGGGAGTGTGCCCCCACTGCCGGGACCCACACTGAGCCCGGAGAGAGGGGAGACGCCGGCCCCCACTGCCTGCTTTGAGCAGGGGGTTGGACTAGATGACCTCCTGAGGTCCCTTCCAACCCTGATATTCTATGATTCTGTGAGACACCGGCCCCGACTGCCGGGACCCACACTGAGCCCGGAGAGAGGGGAGACGCCGGCCCCCACTGCCGGGACCCACACTGAGCACGGAGGGACAAGAGACGCCGGCCCCGACTGTCGGGACCCACACTGAGCCTGGAGGGACAGGAGAGGCCGGCCCCCACTGCCGGGACCCACACTGAGCACGGAGAGAGGGGAGACGCCGGCCCCGACTGCCGGGACCCACACTGAGCCCGGAGGGACAGGAGACGCCGGCCCCCAC